CCTTTGAAATCAGTACCTTCTAGATATTGTTATATATATATATATATATAATATATATATATACTAGACTGCGGGGGTAGCCCGCCTGCGCTGGGTGAAATCGTGCTACTAATTCATAGTACTAATAATGGGACAAAATAGGAACATTGGGTAAAAATCGACAATACATGCAGACAATATTAGATCATCTAGAAATGAGGTGTAATAAGATAATAAGCATGGGAAAGAAAACGGAAAAACTGTTACGTATGACATTTATATGACAGCACAACCGAACTTAGAACACCTGGGACATAATAGTAATATGGTGTAAATGACAAAAAAGTTATTATAAGAGCATGTAGGAATGGGTTGGACTTTCATTTGAAAGCCTCTTGATAAAGAATGTTTTTCGTCTTATTCTCTGGTGCAAATATGTAGAGATTCTGGCGTCTCCAACTCTGAGCTCCCCACGTAACAGCTATCCATTGTGAGATCGTAGCATGAATAAAGGAATATAGTATCAGGAGCTAATAATGATGAAATTTGTCAGTTATTAGCTGCTCATAGTATAGATAGAGCACACGCAACCCATGCACATTGAAATGAAGAAATTTTCTACTGGAATCAGAAACTGGCATAGCTTTGCGAATGGTACAAGTTTTTGAGATCGTAGCATCTGAACTGAACCTCTGAGGCTGAGTGAGTAGTACCTCTGGACACTGGTGAAACTGGTGCTGGTTGTGGTGTGTTTTAGTATCTGGTTTCGCGTTTTCACAGCAATACAGCAGCCGGATGAGGTGAGGGAATCGATTTTTCTCTGTGTGGCAGCACTGTACAGTCAGTGCGACATTGTGTGAAGTTTGGACGAATTGACGGTTTTTCACGGATTTTTCGGTGAGTTTGACGGTTTTCACAGGGTTTTTTCGTCTAGGAACACTCCCCGGGTATAAGAGATGGCCCTGTTGTAAAATTCCATCCAGATCGCTGGGGCGGTTTGGCCGCCTATAGGCAAGATACATACATAACATACCGCATACAAACGAACTCAAACTATATATAAGATTATACCGTTACTAGACAACGTATAGCATGCCAAAAACTTACCGCGTTTGACTTTGTTTAGATAAAAGTTATATACGTTGTATACGCTCTGATAGGCTTGCACGCGACACAGTTTAGAGCGCGCTGTTTCGGTCGGCTCCAGTTCAAAATAAACAGTTATCGGAATAAGCTAGGAATGCGAAACTTATTGGCGAATGCGAACTCTCTCTCTCTCTCTCCTCTATACACACACGCACACAACACACACACACACACACACACACACACACACCACACTCCTCGCTCTCTCATCTCTCCTCTTCTCTCTCAGCACAAGCACACACACAGACACACACACCCACACACACACACACACCATCACATACACACACACTCTCCTCAACACAAAGACACAGAAACGCACGCAAAAGCCGTCCCGAAAATTAACTTTACTTGCACGTGCATTGAATTTGCATCGCTGCCACGCGTTCGTGCCTCCGTGTGTGTGGCGAACTTACGCGCGCGGCGCTCACACATTGGCTGGAAAAAGAATTAAAGCATCTTAATTTGCCACGCTTAGAATCGCGCGAGATGAGCAATGTCAAAAAAATGTCCTGAACTACCTAGTTTCTACTTACGCACGATCACGAACTAAACTAATCCACAAAAACCTTTTTCAAATTTTCAATATAGTCGGTTCACAGAGCCATTTCTGAATCATTTTTCATTCCGTTTTAAAAACAGTGTTATTGCGCTTGAAATTATATATAATCATATATATTAATATATATATATATATATATATTATTATTCTATCGATGTTGAATCTCTATCGGTCGAAAGTTAATTGTCGGCCGCTTGCGATCATAAACTCTTCGAATTCAGCAGCTTAATAGCAAATGGTAGTAGAATGCGCCATTGGATGTATTAGCCGTCGCCTTTGAAGTCATTAGTTTCTTAAGTCAGTCTAGTTATTGGCCATGAGCGCCGTCCGGGAGTTACGGCAACTTGAACCCTCAACTAAGGAGGGCGGCGCATAATAGTGGTAACGGAAGCAGAAGTAATGCCGAACCAGGAAAGTTGCCAGCCAGCGCTGGCGAGGAGCTTATAGAGTTTTTCAGATAGCGTAGCCCATACATGACGCAAATAGTGTGGACAGGTGGTGCACTTGCCGCATCAAGTGCTCCGCATATGCCACCAATCAGGAAAGATAGGCGAGGAGGACGGCCCGCGAAGGGAAACACGCGCGTCAGCGAAAACGGCACGGCCGGTATCAGAGGCGGTAAGCTAGGAAAAGAGATATAGGGGAAGGAGATGTGGGGGGGGGGCGGAAAGCAAAGAGATGTATGGCGGAATGTATGAATGCGGGGAGAGTGGCACTGACAAGTAAGACTGACTAGCTGTAATTGTGGCTGTGCGATCAATAAACAGACATTTTCTTGTGAAGCCTTGCTGGTTCGCCTTATAACGAGCACGCTGGTAGCCTTTTACACATTACAAACACTATCAGGACGGAACGCTACTCGAACGAATATTGGCCCCTCTGATAAAAAAATATAGCTCTTACTTGACGTTATTTTATGCAATATGAACAAATACGAGAGCTAAATGAAATTCAGAAGGCGAGCGGGGTTCAAATAAGGAAATGACCCATAAGTTATTCACGGTGACGTGCTAGCGATGCTAGCGTATTATCTATATTATCTTACTCCTGGTATTATATGATATTATATATACTATATATATAGTTAATATATATATAATTTTCAACATATATTATGTCCCAAATATTATGTCCCAAATACGCGTGTACTCACACCTGTACCACACGCACGCACCGACTACTATACAGTTGAAATAGTAAATTGCGCATCTTGCGTATTCTATTGCAGATTCCGCTGCGCAGTGCTAACACGGGTGACGAACGATGAATTTGTGAGGTGTACGTGCTGTGTGCTGCTCGATCATTTGAGGTGTGTGTATGGGGGGGGGGGATCTAGCGTTTGAGCAGATAAAAATTCGTTCGCGTTTGCAAGCAGTTTTAGCCCCGCGTAGAAATTGAATGATATCTACAGCAATTCTCGCCTCCATTCAAATGGTATTTTATTTCAAGAGGCCTGATAATCAAGTGCTAGAACCCACGTGTGAGCCATTATAGGCGTCTGAACGCCGAACGGATGTCTAATATGGTTGCGTCGAATACATGAGTCACTCCTTCAATGTCCGAGTACCGTGCATCGTTCCATATAATATATACATTTCTTGCTAGGTCCAGTAAACGTGGCAGCTGAGTGGTGGCGGCATTTTACGTTATAACGGATTCTTATTCACAAGACCCGTAGATGTGGCCGTCCTCACAATCATGGTCCATGAAAATAATGGTAGTATTTGCTGTAGATGATGTGTCGGGTATTCTCACGGGCCTACCTGTTCTCTCCCTACATGACTCTCTGTGTGCATGTCTGTAGCCTGCATCACCGTTCCCTACCCCTATTCCACATTCACATTTAATTCCGATTCTTCCCTCTAATATTCCCCTCTCTTATTATCTCCCTATTCTCCCTCCCTCTTTCTTTCTCTTCCTTCTCGCTTACTCTCCCACTATGCCTTTTCTCCCTCCCTCTCACAGTACCCCATTCTCTCTCCCGGTTTTCAGAAACAACATAAATACTTTTAACTATCGTAAGTCCAAAAAGGAATACTTTGTGCCAATTACTTCGTGTTCAAAAGTTATGACATTTGAACTTGAATTGATGTCTTAACTATTTACTATGTTTCTATATCATGGAAGCGTATTATCATGCCTAGATAATAAATAATTCACCATCGTTTCACTTCTAGTCCTTACGGGCTCTCAACAGCGAATGCTTAGTAATTTAATATAATAATAAAGATAACGAATGAGCATGTGACGTCACGCCAAGACTCACGGGCGCCACACAGATACTTGCAAAAAATATAACTGAATTGAAAATTTCTTATTTCAATAAGCACATATTTCTACTTCGTCGTGGCTCTCTATGTGCGAACGTGCGGCTGTTACTAACTACTACTAGCTACGTAGTTCTACTAGGTTATCGGTAACTTTAAGAGCTTAATAGCATCTATTGATAAGCTCGTCGAACGCGCGGGGGGTTGGGGGTAGTGACAGTGGATCTACGCCTCGTAAAGACGGCCCAGGTCTTCACTACACACATGACTACTACTACTACTACAACTATACTACTACTACTACTACTACTACTACTACTACTACTACTACTACTACTACTACTACTACTACTACTGCTGCTGCTGCTGCTGTGGATGCTGATGCGACTGTTGTTGGTGTTGCTGCTGCTGCTGCTGCTGCTGTTGCTGCTGATGCTGATGCGACTATTGCTGGTGTTACTGCTGCTGCTGCTGCTGCTGCTGCTGTTGCTGGTGTTGCTGCTGCTGCTGTTGGTACTGCTGCTCTTGGCTGTCTTACCCACTGTTGTCACCATTTACGCGATGAAGAAAGAGAATACGGGGAAACCTTTCGTGACTATAGAAATTAAGCTAGAGAGCGAGAGACGTGGAATTACTGAGAAAGAGAGTTGGGCAAGAAAAAAGGGCAGTAGAAGATAGTGATCAAGTAGTCAGATACATAAGAACTAGGAGAGCACCACTTGTTTTGTTTCATGCGACTATTTCTGTACCATCAGGGTGCGTGTGCCTGACTGTAATTAATAACGTAGAATCACCGGTCTAACCCATGGACAACCCTTTAAGATACATCAGTAGGCGATTTCTCGAGATCAAGATGCTATTGTCAATGTACCACTAACAGATGCAAACGTTGAAACTTTTCTCAGCACTGCCGTATAACATTCAGCAACAACGCGTAAAAAAAATAAACTTCGCTGAATGCCATCAGATATTCTGAGACCCACCTTCACACCCCCGCCGCAGAGTTCTTCGGCCTGTTACGAGGCAGATGGTTTCGGGGACCTATAATTCGGCTGCTTACGCTAACAGGCGCACATTCGACGACGAGCTGTTCTCCTTCTTCCGAAGCATCCCGTCCACGAAGACTAGTCCGCTGTAACAATGGCACCGAAGTTTGTAAGTATATGTGCACGCGAGCAGAATAGCTGAATCCAGACACGAGTGGGGATGTCAGAACCACCCGAGCATCCCTGTTTAGCTTTAAGTAACGCGTATTATAGATTACATGGCTTCCAGCTAAGAACCTTAGCATCGATATGCATGGTAAATTTCAGATAATATGAGTGAATTTGGCGTGCTTTAGTCATAGAGATGGGCTTTCGCGCTCGAGTTGCTGCAAAACTATTTATCATCAGCGCGCGCGCGCGCGCGTGTGTGTGTGTGTGTGTGGGTGTGTGTGTGTGTGTGTGTGTGTGTGTGTGTGTGTGTGTGTGTGTGTGTGTGTGTGTGTGTGTGTGTGTGTGTGT